CTCCTACATGGTTTTGCTTTCCATATAGTTTACCTGACATTTGATGATCGTTCTTCCCCCTTGACGCAGGTCCCAAAACCCCTGTAATGCTAAAGGATCTTCTGTAAAACTGTGCTAAGTGTTTTAAGTATGATTGGGAATCGTACTGCTTAATAAATGCAAATGTTTATGATTTTTTTTTAAAAACAATTATCCTGTTTCTAAGTCACATGTACAAGCATTTGATGCGTAATTGATTAAGCATGTGATCGATAAGTTTCCCTTCGATCTCAGCCGGATTAATTATAGGGATAGTATTTCTTCATGTTTGACAGCGTCACGATGTTGAAGACTTTTCAGGTATTCTTTAACCTCATAAGTTTTGATTTCTTGTGATAGGCTTCACATACTCATTTGAACATTTTCAAATAGGTTTAACGACCAATTAGATTCCGTTTTGCTATAGCTGGGTTTTCATGCTATACATGCACGTGTCAACAAGATCTTAGATATTGAAACTACTCTTGAACTAAAAGTCTCACAACAAATTTAAATATTAAAATATAAGATGGCCGACAATCAACTGCAACTGCGTTAAAATATAACTAAAAATATACGTAGATTATACCTCTTACCGAATGAAATACCACAACGTGGTTCCCCAACACACTCTGAAGATACTCCGAAAACACTTCAACTATCTTTTTTGTGTTCACCATACACAATTACGACTCACTGTCAACGACCAATATTTTTCAGCTCCTTCTATAACAATTTCCATCAGGCTTTATTTAAAAAGCGTGACTGCATTGCATTTTATACATTTATTTAATAATAACATGATAACATGTTGCCAGTTTAACCTAAACACACTATCAAAAACCCTTTGTCCGATGACTTGTTTATACTATATCATGTGCATAGTACGTCACATAACTAACCCTTATGACGCAATTAAAATGTATCATAACACAATTTTCATACATCTACTACATTAATCTATTCTTCATTTTCTTATATTGTAAGATAATTTTTCATAAAATGGTCGGCAATATTTTGTCTGACATGTGTTACATCTTGGTTTGCGCGATATTCGTGGCATTTGTCTTATTTGTCTTTACCAACACAATAAATTTCTTGGCCGACATGTAGATAATTCATATTAGGGAGAATGACTGTAAGAATGTATCCTTATACGTCACTCTGAGATTGCATCCCTCGAAAAGATCGTTGACGTGTTTTTTAAATCCTTGGTTAACAACACTGGGTTATTAAGGCAGGACATTCTGTTGATTTAATAACTGGCCAAAGGTTATCAAATCGACAGAATATCCTGCCTTTTTCAAATCGACTGCTGCCAAATTCGCAATTGTTCCACCAAGTGAATGACTTGTCACCAAACTCTAGAAGGGGTATGTTCATCAGATAAAGCGCTTACTTTTTAAAGCGTTGCCCCTCTCAGTGTACTATGAGACTGAAAGAATCCAATGTGTATTTGGCAATTTTGACAACCAGAATAGCTTTGTTTCAAGAGCTTGAGATTTTTATACCAGTCATGTAGCAGCGTCATAAGAACCAACTCGGCAAAATAATTTTTCTTTTTGTTCTTAATGACCTTTACGACACTTTACAGTTAATTTATTCTTCCAAAGACAAGAGTGACAAACTGGACAGACATTGCATTTTGATTTTCCACTTTGAATATTATATTCTCTTTCCTTATACCACGTGCAAGATCTCTTGCCTCATTCGTCTTAATATTTTCATTTGCCACATTTTACAAAATATGTTGGATTATTTATCGAAGGACAAAAACGACCTTCACACGCAAAAGGTTGATTAGCCTGCACAAAAGACGATATGCTTCGAAAAGTTATAAAACCGTCATCTTTTTACTTTTGAATCAAGTCATGCAGATTCTCGTGCATGTCATTGGCATTATTTACTCTACATAAAGCTATAGTAGCTAATTAATTGCTTTCTAGACTGAAACGAAATCAATCGGTACCAGTTCGTTCCGGTCATAATCAACATCATCAACGAAAATAATTGGTAACGCTGTAATTTTTCGAGCACAAGATTGTAATTGTCATTATATGAAAGTAAGAATTATTGTCTGAATTGTTGCAACTGAGTGCTTTGAAACTCTCAGAAATTAACAATTAGCTTATAAACAATCGAACAATCCTAAACAATCTCAAATAAATATAGTTATTTGTATCAAATCCAGAATTCATTTTCCCCCTTTCATTCAAAGCAAAAACGAATTCAACTTTTCGTTTTCGCTTTTTGGTGTTTCACAAAACTTGAAAATTGAAATGAATTGTTGTTTTTTTGTTTCTTAAGTTGTCGTTCATAAACACACGCTGAAATACTACACCACACATGTCTTTACTTTTCACACAACGTTCATCCATGGGGAGTAAGCGTAAAATTAAGGTTTTGTGTATAGAAATAACAAATCAGCAGCAACTCAAATTATTATTACGGAAAAGGATATTTCGTTGAGAAATTTCTGTGAAATGGAAACAACACAGTGCGTGACCTCTCAGATTTTCTGAAAGAACATCATTATCCTTTAGTGTTGAAGGATTTATTGCTTGCACTTCCGAACGTTTTTACCCACCGGATTTATATTTGTTAAAGATTATGTACATTTATTAAAGATTATCTACATTTATCAAAGATTATCTACATTTATCAAAGATTATCTACATTTATTAAAGATTATCTGGCGTGCTGTGATACAGGATAAGACTCGCTGCTTCATTTGCTTTTTTTTTCAAATGGCGGTGAAACCATATTAAGCAGCACTCAATTTCCATTGATAAAAAAATGCAATTTCCACTTACAATTTACATTTGAGAACTACTCGATTTATTTATGATTGTTATGAAATAAACAACATATCATTTGAAAATAAAATAGCTACGCTTTCTTTGCTATGCAAAAATAAAAACTTAAAACATAATATCAAATGAACGAAACATATTTCGATCACTGTACAAAGATAAACATGCCTTTTTTGCTAAAAATCACTACATTGAGTTAGGTGGATGACACTTTTAAGATCAAAATTTTATAGCTACTCTATGCAATACTTTTTCAACAATTACGTTTAGAGATGCACATTGTATGCCCTGGTCTCGGTCGACAAAATGCTACGTATAAATATTAATTTGATTGGCTGCTGATTTGTTATCTCTTTACACAAAACCTTAATTTTACGCTTACTCCCACCTGTGGTGTTATATCAAGTTTCGTCAAACAACAAAAAAAACAAAAAACAGATGTTGAATTCGATTTTTGATTTGAATGAAAAACGAAAAACTTTTTGGTTTGATTTCTTCAATATGATTATTTAATTTCAGCAAAAAACGTTTAGCGGTCCGGAATGGTACACGCATTAGAAACGATATTCAAAGTCATGATTTAAAAAAATTATCTACATTATTTACATTCGCAACACTCCAAACATTATCATTCTCAAACCGGACAAAGGCAATGGCGTTGTAATCATGGATCGTCAAATGTATCGTAAATCCTGTCTTAAAATCATTAAAAATACAGCAAAGTTTACCCAACTCAAAGAAGACGTCACACTATCACGCAAACCCAAATTGCAACGACTGTTAAGGAAGCTTCTAAAGAAAGACTCGATCAACAGCAAAGTTTACAATGAAATCTTCTCCAGAGGTTCTCAACCCTCACGCTTCTATGGCTTACCAAAACTCCACAAGAAACGAAAACCAGAACAATCGCTTCCACTACGACCGATAGCTTCAACTTCTTTTCACAAATTCTTCATCTCCTACGACGTTGGAAGCTTATTTACTAACATACCACTTACGGAAGCCATCAACCTGGCAATTGACCTAATATTCACTCACCACCCCAGGTTCAAAATAAACAGGACAGACCTCCCACAACTGTTTTTAATAGAAACAGCACTGACGCATTTTTTATTTAATAAAAAAATTTATGACCAGACGGACGGTGTTGCGATGGGCTCTCCCTTAGCACCCATATTTGCTAACATTTTCATGGGCTAACAGGAACGAAGCTTGCTAAACATTTACAGCGACACTAAACCACTTTTTTTACCGCAGATACGTTGACGATAACTTTGTGTTTTTACTAACGAAACTGAGGCCATGAAGTTTTATAATTACATTAACTCACAGCACGCAAACATTAGATTTTCTTTTGAAACTGAACAACAAGATCAACTGCCATTTCTTGACATTTTACTAACAAAACCCATGACAGCTGTACAACATCTACATATCACAAACCAACATACACAGGATTTCTGATGAACTATTTTAGCTTTACACCACTTTCATACAAAACCGGACTTATACGCACACTAACGACAGAACATACGAACTTAACTATACGAACAATGGCTTTCAACGAGACATAAAAAACATCACATCCACTATTTACGAAACTCTTTCCCACTACAATTTATTAACAGAACCGTAAAACGATATCTCGACAACAAACAAAGCAACAACCTCAAACTAGACACCGAAACTCCTGACACGACAATCACGACCAACACAAATGAAAATTCCAAAATAACAACTGTGTACTTCAAACTATTATACATCGGACATTACTCACGACACACACAGAGCAGACTTACAAAAATTATGAAACGCTTCTGTACAGATATTAACATTCGACTAATTTTCACATCATTCAAAATCAAAAACCTTTTCTCATTCAAAAACCCAATCCCTGATGTAATTAAATCAATGGTGGTACATGAATTCAATTGCGTGAGATGTAATTTCCGACACATTGGCGAAAATTCGCGCCATTTATCCACCGGAATCAGGGTACATACCACAACAGACAAAAACTCTCATATCTACCGACGCCTTTATAAATCTCACTCATGTAAAACAAACTATTCAACCTCTTTCTACAAAATCATCGACACTGCCGACACCTCATTCTCCCTTAAAATCAAAGAAGCACTCCACATTTACAAAACTAACTCTGACCATAGAATAGAGAATATATAGAAGGGCAACTCGCAGGTGAAACGCGTGGCATATTTTCTGTGCGCATGCGTTAGGTCCGCCATTACTCTGGCCAGTAACTTGACGCTGGCGTACTATAAAATAATATTGGAAAAGTGCGATTTTGGGATAATAATCGCCTAAAACGCAAACTGTTTTGGAAGATCATGGAATTTTGTGACAAAACGTGAAAGAAATAAGGTGAGAGACCATTATTTAATTGCTGGCAAGTCCGTAAAGGTTTTTTATTGGTAAAAATTACATGTTTCAATGTAGGGTGTTTATTTTACTGCTGTAGAGTTGTCAGCATGTTAGGTGAATAGAAGTCCAAAAGTAAAATCTCTTGCGTTTCGTCCATTCTGATTTATAAATTTCAAACTTTTGAGGTGTTATTATAAATGTGCTATTTAAAACACAAACTTGTCAGAGTTTTACTTGTACCAACGCTGTAATATTTCAGGTTGCAACTTGCCAACTTGCTTAACTATAAATCAAGTTAATCAACCAGCTAACCAAGTAATCCAATAATGATTCATGATGCTTGTGTGAGAATTATAACTGATAATAATTTGTAACATTCAGTTTCAAACCATGGAGTGTTTGTTTATCATTTTAAGCATGAGTGAAATGTTAATATGTTAATAGTTGGGCATTTTTAATACCAAATGTAGTTTTAGTAAGGTATACACTCTGTTTGCCTTATTTATAAATTTTGCCTTGCTGTGATTTGTGCTCTATTAAATTTATTACCAATAGTTATGATTGATTTTCTGATATTTTTTTCTAGTTGTTATTTTGGCATTCAGTTCTCAAGTGAGGATTATGTTGCAAGTGTCTTGTGTTATGTAGTTTTAGTATGTTGGATTAGATTTTAGTGGCTACTTGTTGCAGCAGCATGTTAAACTTTGTTTATTTAATTATATTACGTTTTTATTATGATTGGGTGGTTTTTGTAAGGGTGCTCTATTAAACATTGATCACAATTTCTTCAGCTTAATCAGTGCTCGACCTTAGCGGTGGTCCGCTAGCCCGCGGCTAGTAAAAAATGGGTTTGGGCTAGTAAAATTGCAGAACAACGAGCCAATTGGCTACTAGAGGTAGAGGTAGAACAGATATTGGAAAGACAAATAAAGGATTAAGAAAATTTTTAGTTGATCGCCTACGAAACTTACCTTGCGTTTTACGATCGATGAATCCATTTTGTTTCTGCTCGGTCAAACCCATTGAGTTCTATAATAACTAGAGCGGCTATCTCAAGCGCGGCCTTAGATATCTGATGACGCCAAAAAAATGGCGGATTTCGTCCTTTGCCGATGAGATTTACCGAAATTGACCGCTTTTCCGAAAATTTCACAATTTCCCACTCCCTCCTGAGGAAAGAGTGAGGAAATGTATGTGTGTATTTGGGATTCGGCAAGCAATTTTTTGATGAAAATCAAGGTAAAAACCTTAAATTCATAACAGCGAGTGAACTGTGGTTGTCAGTCATCTGCTCCTACGAGGATGCATTTATAACTATCGACGAAAGACCTATATGTCGGCTACACATGTATGAATGCAGATGTGCGTCGTTTTCTTACCAGCGTCAAGCCTCAAGCCTCAAACCTGGCTACCAGCGGATGCCTGTTGGCTAGTAAATTTCAAACCTTACTAGCCCAAGGACTAGTAACTTTAAAAATTAAGGTCGAGCACTGTTAATTGTTTAGTATACCCATATTTATAGATAAATTAGCATTTCTTCTGCACCCCCATCTAGCTTAAGCTAGGAGGGCTGTACACCCCTCTCTAATAAAGTTGTCATTAAATTTTTTAAATGTAAATATGTGCACTGAATTGCTGTATTTTATTCTGTATATTCTATTGCATGAAATGCACACATTCTAAATTCAAATTGTTTTGTGTTAAAGATTTTTGTGCACCTTGTAAATCTTTAATGACAAAGACATGTTTTTAGCCTTGTAACCATTAAGAAAATATAATATTTATTATATTGCCATTATTTTGTACATATGTTTCACTCAGAAATGTCTTTATCAAAATAAGTTTCCAATGTTATTCAATTCTCAAATCGCCCAAAGCATTGTATATTGGGTTTGCTGTGGATCTTTCTCAGGTGTGCGTCTCTACTGCAACTTTTTGATTCGAGATTATAAAGTTGTACATTTTCCATTTTTGGTACTATTCATCGCCAGGGAGGCAATAGTGATAACCATACTCCAACCGAATTTATGCAAGCATTTAGAAAGCTTTTCTTCAGTTCCCTTCTAACCTGTTTATCTGGAAATTGTGACAACGACCTTCATTCTATGCTGGTTGAGTATTTCAAAAATGTTGCAAAGAATAAAGTCAGCCAGAAGAAATCGGTTCAAGTCTTTCCACTTCCGCACCACAAATTTTAGCAATTGATCCTACTAACTACAAGGAGCCAAATGTTGTTACTAACATAATGAGGGAAAATGCCATTGCATATGTGTCTGGTTTTCTTCTAATGAAGAGTTTCAAACTCCACTCTTGTCTGAAATGCACCAATGCTCTTTCATCTACAGAACTGGAAGATAGCAGAAAGTTATTCTGCCACTTTAAAGCATTCGATGAAAAGAAATCTGATTTAGGAGGACTACAATCACCATCTTGTCCTTATCTGGAATACATCATCAAACTTGAAGACACATTTATTAAGACGTTTTTTGTCTACACAAAGAGCGAAGGTGTTGGTCGAAGTATATTAGACACCGTCAAGTCCATACCAAAGGAATTTGATTGCTGTACGGAATTCCCATTTGAGTTCTTGCAGAAACTTTTTGTAAGAATACGCATTTATTACGCCATAAAATTTGCGAACTGCATATTCGCAACAACTAAAAGGAAAGACAGGAAGTATATTAAAGTCACACACCTTTGAGGGCTTTGTGCATATAATTTTTTGTGCTTTGTAAAACTAAATTGAAAACAAAAGCTTTTTATATCACAATAATATATTTAACATGTAATACATCCAAGTTCATTTAAGTCCTCAGGACTTGTGAACCTCAGAACCTGTTCAAGCTTTCCGACTGAATTTCGCTATAAATATATTAAATAAATGCATTTGTTACATGATATATACAAAATACTTGCCTTTTTATTTCAATTTCTTTCAAAAAGATGCCAAAAACAGCCAACAGCTCAAAAAATCTACATTTTAACCCACTTTACGGCTTCCACTCCATATATTTTCATAGTAAATGTTGTACACTTTACTGGCCAGAGTAATGGCGGCCGTCAAATTTCCGGTATTGGCGAAACAAACTGCGCGCCACACTTACATCAAAGGTTACCGACGAGAGTTGCCCTTCTATATATTCTCTAGTCTATGCCCTGACCTCAATGTTCAAGTCTTCAAATTCAATACAATATTTAGTTTATAACGCTCTCGTACGCTCCCCATTAATTTATCTTATTTCCTTTTTATTGTTGTAATTTATGTATCATATTACTTTTATACAAATCTTGTATTATTAATTATTTCACTTATACTGAAGATGGCATCATGAGATGTTGAAACATGTCTATTTTAAACATGTCGCACGCGAACGCATGGCGTCCAAATCGCAGGTTATTTTGTTTTTTTTTTGTTTTTAAACGCCATTTTCTTACAGTCCTCATCAATTGTGCATGATTGTGAGCTTTAAGAATAAGAATAATTGATGAAGGTTTTAACAAAGAACAAGATGCGAAAACCCATAAACTTCTAGTGAAATACGTCACCGCACAGCATGAGACCCACTAAGAGCGACATATCTTTTGTGTACATATAGTTTGTCAGTTCGATATTTTTATACTTGAATGAAAAATGATGGCATATTGTAAAGAGATCATTTCATTTCTTCTTCTCCAGTCGTTACTTATTAATTTCTCCTTGTGCAACATCGTAAAACGAAAAGCACCAGAAGGAAAACTTTACGTATTTTCAAAAAGAGAAGGATGTGTATCAGTACAAAGTGAAAGTCCTTGTACATTAAACTGGAAATTGAATCCATACATCGCCAAACTTTACACACAGAAGAACAAGGTCATTTCACATGCACTCAATTACTACGCTCAACTTGGCATTTCATATTTGTGCAGAAATGCTCTTAAAGAAGCCTTATGTTCACAATGGACCCCAAGATGTTCAGAAAGCGATTACAGTCGAGATTATGGTGATGTTACAAGGCTGTGTAACAACGTTTACTCTCGTTGTCCTTCAAATATCGTAAATGCGTTGAAGAACCAAAAATTCTGCAAGATTCTTAAAAAAGGCAGACATTCAAACGGTCAGTGTGTTGCGAATACTGCACCCATCAGTGGTGCTTGTCCGCAGCCAAAGTATAAGGTACGTCAACACAATTATATATTAAAAATAAACGATTTGCTGATCAACCCTTAAATTTTTGATAGGATATTTCGATATAATAAAAAGTATTCTTATGAGTTATTTATATTATAAGTCCCATACATAAAGTCTCATCTTAATAAACAAAGGTTCTGAAATATATTTGGTTTAAAACAGAAAAATCATCGATCATCTCAAATAATGAATTAATCTTGTAATGTTCTAATCAAATCGTAATTTTTGACTGTAAGTAAATTATCCGGACTCGCCCTCAATTAAGCTGATGGAAACTCCATGTTCAGTGAATTATTATGATTTCTATTACGTTAACCTTTTTTACTTCATATCATGTTCTATTATATGAAAACAGACAAATCATCGATCATGGGAGCAGCATTCAATATTTTCACAAAAATGAGTTGAAATGCTGCAGCTAGGGCATCCGGTGCGTGGTAGCAGAAATATGTATTGGCGGCGGCTTATATTGACTTCATATCGTCAATTGCTCCTCAAAGCTTTATGTAAAGTTATTGCACAGTCATAATAAACTTGCATCAAAATGCTTCTCCTAATCACAAAATGTTTCTTTTCGAAACGTCAGAATTTTTTATTCGTAGGTATATACACAAGCAACTTTTATAGCTTATATGCAAGTATTGAGCTGGTTATTTGTATTCTGTTTTAATAGAACGGTTTTACTTCCATAAAGGCCATTATCGCACAGTTTCCGCACTACATATAGAACTTGAATGTCAATTAATATTATTTTTTAAAAAATACGAAGGTTTCTTTGTGTGGAAACTGTGCGTAATTTACTTGTCCTCCGAATTCAACCTTAACAACAGTTTCCACTGATGTGAAACCAATCTATTGCCCTTAATAAACATTGAATAATAATAAACATGGTTGTGTAACTCATTACGGTTAGAAAATAATCCTACATAAAACCATTGTAAAAATAGCCTTTCGTGCATAGAATTAAGGTGTACTTTTCTTGACGCAAAGTATGAACTTATAGTTTCCTAACAATTGTACATAATTTCCCTTTTTTAAGTCACATTTGGGACGAAAATTCATTTCCTACGCACAAAACCATTGGTATAAATAGAAGTAAAATTAGAGTTATTTGATAAGAAAAGTCGTACTTCTTTCTTAATAAAAATTTTATAACTAAGAGTGCAGATCAATTTGGACGAACTAAACGAATGTGATAGCCCAGGGCATAATGCCAAGTATGGTACTTATACAATGATGGCTGACTCTGGTAAGATAGTAACTTTTAATGTTGTGCAAAGTACTGAAGTCAGTTCTTCTAATGCTATGGAGAAAGAAGCATTTGAAAGATGTCTGTCTGAATTTGAAAAGATTTCCTGAAATTCCATCTGATTGTAGTTTAGATTGCCATGCTATGAAAAACAAACACCCTCAAATTGATCACCAATATGATGTGTGGCATTTGTCTAAATCTGTCACAAAAACTAACAAAGAATTAACATTAAAAAATGATGACTTGAACCATTGGATTAAGTCAATTTCAATCATTTCTGGACACCTATAGTTCTTTATACTGTAGCAATAATAAATGGAAATATCTAATAAAGTCTAAAGTACCTTGTTACTAACTGAACACATTTCTTCATCTACAAACATTTGAGGCTTTTGAATTACTATTTTGTTTTTTGTATTGAACATTTTGTTTTATTTGCATTAACCAGAGGGCTGGCTTGTGCATAACCTGTTTAGTGTGTATAGAAAAGTGATGGGAGGGAGACAATATTAATGTACGCATGTTTTAATCTCTAAGAAACAATTGGTTTCAAAAGAACTTAATGAAAAAAAAAACATGCATGTATGAATAAAAACCTTTATCATTTTTCGAGCTAGCAACAATACAGACAGTGAGCTTGACTATGTTAGGCCAGTTCGCTATCAGTCGAAATCCGTCTAACCAATCACAATAAAACAAATAATCAAATGAACCAACTGTATGATAGCAATTGGACTCCCTTATACGTCCAGCCACCCCTCTTATCGGTCGAGACCATTCCAGACGATCCACTGATCTGGCCATTGACCAATAAAAGAAGCGTTTTTAGCGTTCATAGACTCCTTTATCATTTGAACCAGTCAAGCCACCCCGCTTATCAGTCGGTTATTCCAGGTCAATTAAAATTCAACTGATCTGGTTACCAACGAGATATTCATTGGATTAGTCATTAGTTTTCAATAATAAATAAAGCTGTATTTTTATCACGAAGTAAATGCGATAATAAAGTAAGAATAATTAATGAATTTTTAATTAATATGAATAGGTAATTTTTGAATTTCAAACATCAGTCGCGCGACGGATTTGACATACTCTAGATCCGCCCCTGCCTTTCTTTATGGTTTGTACGAAATATACAGGGTGCTGGAACGGTTATAAAATTGCACGGGGGGTGCTTAAAAGGACAGTCAAAATTATAGGAAGAGGGCATTGAAATTTGTCTGGACAATTTTTTTGTATTATATAATTGTTTCCTCCAATTAAACTTACGTTACACTTTAATTACGAAGCAGGCAACTTTCTAGAAATTAAAAATTCAAAATTTCTATAGATCAGACCACAAATTTGAATGAAAGTAACTGGTGTGAATTTACCTAGACTACAAGAGTTTTAAGCTTTTTATTGCCTTCACTAAAATCCGTCACATTCAGTTGTAGAAATATAAACGCGTTGATTGACACCACAAGAATTCCGAGCAAACACACGGTAGTTTCCAATTTCATCGTAATAGATCTATGAATACTTATGGTTAGTTAAAGTAGGTTGGGTGTCAAGTTAACCATGCTGATTACTCGAGTTGAAGCGACTTAAGTTCTGTCGGAGTTGTTTTCGCGCAAGTCATAATCACACACGCAGCCACTTTAACTTTTTGCCAACGAAAACAATTCGTGCTCACATCACTCGCATGTGATTCCTTTTAGATCATCATATTGGCTTTAAGTTGCTCATTCAATTTCCAGCTTTTTTGTAATAATGGCTCACTGATTTTTTGTACGTACTTTATCTCACATTGTGAATGTACGCTTTGTGAACGTACTTGGTCAGAACTAAACGATCGTGTACATTTTCCATGAGCTCGAATACAACGAATCCTCTGTACAGTAACGGATCGAAGATACCTCAGAATAAATCATATCTCCTCAATTTTAAATTCAAATTACATTCAGAAAAACACTATTGGTTTTTAATTTCCAAAGAATATAGTTTTACCTGTAAATTTACCTCTAAAGTGTCTAGAAATGTAAATATTCGCCAAAATGCGACTCAGTAACTTATTTTGAGGTACTCTTAATCCTGCACTGCCTCTGTACTCATAGTTTTTGTACTTGGTCTAGCTCATGTATTTCAAATTATTAACCACGTGCAGGTATAAAACTATCAAAGGTAATACTATCAGAATTGAGCTATTCGTGATGCACTACGGAAGATGAAGTGAATCATGCATATAAGCTAAACATGCATGACATTTTCTAATAAGAAAAGAAACAGTTGTTTTGCTTATATGTATCGAAAATGCAAGAAGAATCAAGTCTAAGTCTAGTTAAACAAATTTAATGTCTTCTCAGAAAAAAGAAATTTGGAAATTGGCTCGTAATTCATATGAAAAAAACCGGTATAAAAGTAGAACAAATTAACCAACCATTGGCGTCAATCCCGTATTAATTTTAGGGGGGAGCATATTCATACATTCTGGTATGCCTGGCTAATTTCTTCTTAAAACAATTTCTGGTCCCCGCACTTAATTATTGCAGGGTTCACGCCAATGAAACCAACAATAATTCATGCATATTAAATTTCCTAAATGATGATTAAATCATGTAGTAAATTCATGCAAGATTCAGATCTTTCGTCAGTTTAATGGATTGAAAAGAATTCCATGTTCATCTAATGCAGTGGCTGCGTATATAAATCCAATTAACTTTTAAAAGTGTTTGATTTTCTTTCAAGGCATCCATTTGTCATTTGGCATGGCCAATAATGGTAGAAGTAGCTCATTGTTAGAAATAAGTTCAGTTATAAGCCTTAATTGTAAGATATTCTGAAAATATATACAATCTTGCTGTTTCATTTGACCTAAGGGGCATTAAAATTCAGGGTGACATGTGTTCTGAAATGTTCGCATTAAATTTAAGTTTAAATTTGAAAATTGATGACAAAATTCAGACAGCCAAAAATAAAAAATTAGGTATCAGATAACAAAATAGATTTTGCACAGCTTTCTGCAGTCTTGTGTTTTTTCTCTGTATGATTTTCTACTGTTGAAAAAACGTAGATACTGGAAAAGTCACACACTAAGTGCTTTTGCCGAAAATGCAACAGATATTTATGAGAAAGTTTAAAATGAGAGAAAAAGATTTACATGTTATTGTTACAAAAATTATGAGAATATCTGCAGTAAAGGTCAATGGGGTATTTAATTTGCCGTACGACAATATAATAATTCACATTCACATTCTTCAAAACTAGATAACAATTCACATTCTTCAAAACAGATAAACTGTTTCAGGCAGCATTTCGTTCCCCTGAGTAATCTAGTGCATTTAAATAATTCGTAATGTTTTGTTGCACGCTTGACTAGCGGAACCCCATTCCCATTTTAATGATCTTCGGCCCACAGAAAGCATTCCCAAAATACACTTCTTTACCTATAGTAAACGCTTGCCAAGGGTCTTGTTTTATTTCTACTTTCCGTCATTTTACTCAGAAATCACGGATAGCGTTAGTGAACAAAAAGAGTAAAACATTGCCAATTTTTCAACAAAAAATGATCATGCCTTTAGATAAAATTGGACAGTAGGTGGAGCAGCCATAGCTGACCAGTTCCCCCTATTTAGGCAGTTATGATACATCGTCCACGATCCCATCTCATAAATAGAGCAGTTGATGATAAAGACTTAGATGATATCCAAACCCAAGATTTAAAAATTTGTCTACATTATTTACGAATAATCATATTTTAAATTTACTTTCAGATGACGTCGTGGCTCCTTGAAGAATATCGAAAAACTTCTGTAAAACTCCAGCCAGCTTTGAGACGTCTTCGTAATCAGCGATACCGTGATGGTAGAAGGATTTATTCAGATTCATGTGTGTCACAAATAACTGAAATTGATTGTGCAGCAGTTTATTGCTCAGCAAATGAAACTGAGCTCTTGGTAAAAATGGATAGTAATGATTGTCATCAGGTTATCAGTGACTGGTAAGTTATGAAAATTTTTTTTACACGTTTGTCATGTATGAACGAATTTTTCCATCCATTATCATTCGAAGTTCGATCTACTCAGTATACATATTATTAATTGTTTCACGAAATCTGGGACTTGCTGACCGGGAAATGTTACAAGATGTTAAATAAGTTTTTATGCTGCTTACAACACTAATTTTTGATTATGATTAACGTAATTATGTTGTGCATAAAAAACTGTATTGCATTATTCACGGCTCGTTATACACGCATAGTGCCATATAGTATTGCACACTTTATTTAAATGTTATCATTTGCAGTATCGACGAACCATTCAGAAGATTGTCACAGTCGTCGAGTACTTGGAATGTTTTGAATACTTTGAGAAATCAACTTAAAACGAATTGTGACAATTTTGCTGCGCCCTCATCCGACTTGAGACCTGAGCCTCCACGGATTTACAAGAAATCACCTACAAAAAAAAGTGAAGATAAACCAAAACCAAGTGCTAGAAGAAACACACCAACAAGTACTGGAAACAGAGAGCACAAAGCCATTGGAATCTTGCCCATCGTCTTTTTTACCCTTGTAAATATGATTTTAATTGCTTGAGCTTGAGATGAATCAAACGTTTTTTATATTCATATATAATCCAAAAAACTTCATATATAGTTGATGCAGTATAGTAATACTTGGTGTTAGACTGAATTATATTTGCATGATTTTTCAATTTTTACAGTTATTAGCCATTTTGCAAGGTTCTTCTTCATGATGATTGCATTTGTTGTTTTCATGTCTTAAATGCACTTATAATAACAAACGTAAGAGTAAGAATATTGATGTCTCTTTATGCCAAATGAAATTGTGTGTCCGTAAAAAGTACAAATCCTTGTACATTGAACTGGACATTGAATGAAAACGTAGCAAAAGTTTATGAACAACAAGATGCGAACCATCTCAATCTTTATGCTTAGTTATAAACATTTTTTTATACAGTTTAAAAAATAAAGTACTTCAGTATTTATGACGAAGTATATAAATTTGCTAAAAACAGCTTGAGAGATATAGCAATAACTTTAGTCAAGGACAAATATAAGTGTTTGCATGCATTTTATTTACCGAAAGAAATCTCAACTTTCTTTGGGTAGAATGAACATGACAAACACCATGGCATATATGCCAATTCTTCGATTCAAGACAAGAGTAACTTCAGAAAAAAAAAATCTTCTTAACATGTCTAAAAGGTTTACTTTTAGGGATGGTCATAGAAGAGAAAATTTGCATAAAATCAATAATTACCAAGAAAATTACCATATATGCACAATCTCTAATCAAATGAAATTTTGTATGAATTGACAAATATTCTTAAATTTTAAGATTTTCAGGAAAAATAAAATGAGATTAAAAAGAAGACTGTCTATAAAATTAGGAGCCCCGGGAGCCCCTGGAACCTGCTCATAACCCCTGGGCATTTGCCAAAAACACCCGGAACCTCGGTAAAAATTATGATGACGCAATAAAATATATGCAATTACTTTCCCGTCCAATGAGCAGAAAACAAGTAATTAGGGTTTTTAAAACCTTTCAGTTAGTGGGAAGTAGATTTTGATTAACTTGCCGATGCACCTTTAAATATACTGTGAAACAAAGTAAGGCTGCTTCCAGTTTTCTTTTAGTGCATGATGTTTAACATTGAAAATAAACATTGTCATTGGGACAATACGTTTATTTTTGTTACCTAAATATTGTTGAAATGAATTCTTAATACATGATTAGCGTTAGCTAGTTAAGTGTTCTTTTTTGTCCTGTGTGGTTGTTCTTTGAAAATATGAAAATTGATCTCTGCCAAGACTGTTTTTTAGTTTGTGTAACATCAACCTTTGACCAGACATAGTGCATACTGATTTTTAAGATTATAAATTATATTTACTTGTTTCCATTGAGTTATGTAGCTTAACACTTGTGAAAGTTTGGCAGAAACAAGAAATTGCGTGAAAGCACAAACACGACGCAAAAGTGTTTCCGAGCAATTTCAAGTTTCTCCAATACATTTAAAAGTGTTTATAAAACAAGTAAATATGTTTTCTATTTTGCGTATAAAATAACCTTTTAAAATAAAAATAAAACACAAGTTTATTGATTTTAATCGACATGTTGATTATATTCTCGCCATTAAGATTTCCAGGCAAACCATGTTAAAACATTATTTTAATGTCACTGTAGGCATTAGGTTAAGAAATACTTTTACGTTTTCCCATCATTAATTGATACAAAATTTCTATTATCTTACTATAAATATTGTATTGAATTTAAAACTTAAACATTGAGGTCAGGGTTAGTTTTGTTAATGTGGAGTGCTTCTTTGATTTTTAGGGAGAATGAGTTGTCGGCAGTGTCGATGATTTTGAAGCAAGAGGGTGAATAGTTGGTTTTACATGAGTGATATTTAAGAAGGAGTCGGTAGATATGAGAGTTTTTGTCTGTTGTGGTATGTTCCCTTATTCTGGTGGATAAATAGCGCGAAGTTTTGCTAATGTATCCGGAATTACATCCCGCGCAATTGAATTCATATACAACCATTGATTTAATTGCATCAGGGATTGGGTTTTAGAATGAAAAAGGTTTTGATTTTGAATGATGTGAAAATCAGTTGAATGTCAATATCTGTACAGAAGCGTTTCATAATGTTTGTAGGTTTGCGCTGTGTGTGTCGTGAGTAATGTCCGATGTATGGTAGTTTAAAGTATAAAGTTGTTATTTTGGAATGGTCATTCAGTATGAGTGCCATTAGTAGAGAGCTAAGATACTTAGCTAAATTATAATTGTATGCGTTAATTGATGAAACTATCGGTCGTAATGGAGGCGATTGTTCTGGTTCTCGTTTCTTGTGGAGTTTCTGCAAGCCATAGAAACGTGAGGGTTGAGAACCTCTGGAGAAGATTTCATTGTAAACTTCTGTTGTTGATCGAGTCTTTCTTTAGAAGCTTCCTTAACAGTCGTTGCAGTTTGGCTTCACATGATAGTGTGACGTCTTCTTTGAGTGGGGTAAACTTTGCTGTATTGTTAATGATTTCAAGGCAGGAGTTACGATACATTTGACGATCCATGATTACAACGCCGTTGCCTTTGTCCGGTTTAAAAATGATAATGTTTGGAATAATGCGAATGTTTTTAAGGATGCGATGTTTTTTGAAGTCAGCTGGTGTCGGATGATAAGATGAGATGTACGAGTGAGTGATGTGTGCCAGCTCTGTTTTAGATGCGTGTAGTCTTCTTGATTGCGAATACTGTGTTTTATAGTTTGGTGGTTTTTTCGTATGTTGCCAGAATGTCGGCTGAATTGAATTGTAGAAGTTTAATGCTGAACCCAAGGCCATTTTTCAGGGGTTCTAGTTCTTCGTCCTTTCATTGGTGTGATAATAGATTGGTTATCGTTTCGTTGTGTGAGAATGGTAGAGTTCTGTGTTAAGATATGAACATCGAACGAAAAGTCAAACAGCATAGCATTGCATGCATAATTAAGTAGATATGACACATGTCAGATTAAGTGATATTCTGAACTTGTTATCATAATATCGTTATTCGCCGATATTTAACTTGTTATTTGTTCCACAATAAAATCATAAATATTTCACGTGCAATCCGAATGTTATTGCCGAATTACGAATAATTTAACATATTGTTCCTTGTGAGATTACTTAGTTTTTTCCGATGTGTGGTAATTGTCTTTTGTCTTTTGTAGGTATTTGGCTTTGTATTTTTTTATATATCATAATTAACAAAATACCTAGAAAAGACAATTACCACACATCGGAAAAAACTAAGTAATCTTACGAGGAACAGAACTTTACCATTCACACACAACGAGACGATAACCAATCTATCATCACACCAATTAAAAGACGAAGAACTAGAACTCGTGAAAAATGGACTTGGGTTCAGCGTTAAACCACCACGACTCGATTCAACCGACATTCTGGCAACATACGAAAAAATCCACCAAAGTATAAAACACAACATTCGCAATCAAGAAGACTACACGCATCTAAAACAAAGCTAGCACACATCGCTCCCTCAAACATCTCATCTTATCACGCGACACAAGCTGACTTCAAAAAACATCCTTTCCTTAAAAACATTCGCAACAATCCAAACATTATTATTCTAGAATCGGACAAAGGCAATGGCGTTGTTATCATGGATCGTCAAATGTATCGTAACTCTTGCCTTAAAATCATTAACAATACAACATAGTTTACCCCACTTAAAGAAGACGTCACACTATCATGTGAAGCCAAACTGCAACGACTGTTAAGGAAGCTTCTACAGAAATACTCGATCAACAACAAAGTTTACAATGAAATCTTCTCCAGAGGTTCTCAACCCTCATGCTTCTATGGCTTGCCGAAACTCCACAAGAAACTAGAACCAGAACAATCGCCTACACTACGACCGATAGTTTCATCAATTAACGCATACAATTATAATTTAGCTAAGTATCTTAGTTCTCTACTAACACCACTCATACCAGATGACCACTCCATTAAAGATTCTTTCACTTTCATCGACGACTTCTCATCTTTCAACTCATCAACTTCTTGTCACAAATTCTCCATCTCCTACGACGTTGGAAGCTTATTTACTAACATACCACTTACTGAAACCATCAACCTGGCAATTGACGTAATATTCACTCACAATCCCAGGTTCAGTATAAACAGGACAGACCTCACACAACTGTTTTTAATAGCAACAGCACAGACAATTTTCTATTTAATGGAAATTTATGACCAGACGGACGGTGTTGCGATGGGCTCTCCCTTAGCACTCATACTTGCTAACATTTTCATAGGCTCACATGAACGAAACTTGCTAATTATTTATAACGACACTAAACCACGTTTTTACCGCAGAAACGCTGACGATATTTTTTGTGTTTTTACTAACGAAACTGGGGCCATGAAGTTTTATAATTGCATTAACTCACAGCACGCAAACATTAGATTTTCATTTCAAACTGAACAACAAGATCAACTGTCATTTCTTGATATTTTACTAACAAAATCCCATGACAGCTGTACAACATCTACATATCACAGACCAACGTCACAGGACTTCTGACGAACTATTTTAGTTTCACACCAATTTCATACAAAACCGGACTTATAAGCATTCTAATCGACAGAGCATACATAGTTAACAATACGAACAATGGCTTTCAACGAAACAAAAAAAACATCACATCCACTTTTTACGAGACTCTTTCCCACTACACTTTATTAACAGAGCCGTTAAAGGAATATCTTGACAACAAACAAAGCAACAACCTTAAAATTAGTCACCGAAACTCCTGACACGACGATCACGACCAACACAAATGAAAATTCCAAAATAACAACTCTATACTTCAAACTACTATACATCGGACATTACTCACGACACACACAGAGCAGATTTACAAAAATTATGAAACGCTTCTGTACAGATATTGACATTCGACTAATTTTCACATCATTCGAAATCAAAAAGCTTTTCTCATTCAAAAACCCAATCCCAGATGCAATTAAATCAATAATGGTATATGAATTCAATGGCGCGGGATGTAATTCTCGATACATTAGCGAAACGTCGCGCCATTTATCCACCAGAATTAGGGAACATACCACAACAGACAAAAACTCTCATATCGACCGACTCCTTCTTAATTCTCACTCATTTAAAACCAACTATTCACTCTCTTGCTTCAAAATCATCGACACTGCCGACACCTGAATCTCCTTTGAAATCAAAGAAGCACTCCACATTAACAATACTAATCCTTACATCAATGTTCAAGTTTTCAAATTCAATACAATATTTAGTTTATAATGCGCCCGTACGCTCCCATTAATTTATCTTATTTCCTTTTTATTGTCGTAATTTATGCATCATATTACTTTTATATAAACCTTGTATTATTTATTATTTCACTTATACTGAAGATGGCATCATGAGATGTCGAAACATGTCTATCTTAAACATGGCGTAACATGTCGTTCGCAAACGCTAGGCGTCCAAATTGCAGATTATTTTGTTCTTTTCGTTTTTAAATGTCATTTTGTTATTTCCTCATCAATTGTGAGTACAAAAATAAGAATATAGTCCGGCAGATAGTGGCAAAAAAACTCACCATATCGCGGGGCAATTCCATTTTGCTTTAAAATTGTCCGAGTACGGATATAGAACACAAATCCAGATGTTGGCCTTGGTAATTTTTCTTGTGAAATCAAGCCAACACGTTTTTTTGTGCTAACTCGATGACTTTTGTGTTATGATGAAAATTGAATCGGAGAAGAAA